TCAGCCTCCTGATGAGTCGGTGAAACTCCGACGAAACAGTTTGTCACAGCCCCTCGTTTGTTGTCCTCTTCTCCCTCTCTGCCTACGGTTTAACGGGCAGTTCTATTTGACGATAAAATAATAAAATTGCAGTATAATAGAGCGGGACTGTCTTCCTTGGCCAAATTGAATGCATAATCATCATATCTGTATGTGACTTCAAAATGGCCCCACAGGCAGATATAATGTCCCAACAGTTCCAGTTTGTCACTTGTGCAGAAGACGGGCGTAGTTATGGGACACATCGGCAGGTTACCTTCTGAAGCTGCTCCATTAACTCCACTATGCTAGCAACCTGCTCATCAATCACTCTTTTTGCTGTGATGAGAGGCTGGTCATTTGGGAGCAGCAGCTCCTCCTGGTTGTCTCCTGATCTCTTCTCCCTGGAGTCTGTCATCGTGGATTTCCGTCCCGGTGCTGTTCCTCCTCCTGATCTTCCTCCTGCTCCTTCGTGTCCTTCACTTTCTCCTCCTCTGTCTCCGCTTCTCCCTTTTCCTCCTCCTGCTCTGACTCCACTTCCCCCTCCTCCTTCTCCTTTGACTCCGCTTTCCCCTCCTCCTCCTCCTCCTCCTCTCCTAGTGCAGTCTCTGGTATTGTAAACTGCCTGAACAGAATTTACTGCAAAATCTCGCTGAGCAACTTTTGGTGGGATATGAACGCCTGTGCTCTCAGTCCTGGCATCCGACGGTGGATTGAGCCTTGCCACACTGGATGAGGTGTTTCCGGTATTATTATCTTGACTTCCTATGCATCTTTCACCGACTTTACGCACATGCAGATCCTCATTCCTCTCTTCTGAAAATGATGCATAACTCTCGAGCCCATTTGAGTAGCTGAGATAATTGCCCATGCTTCGATCCCTGGGTACGTGTGGGCTCAGTGCAGGGCGATGGTGGCAATCGTCATTTCTCGCAGTCCAGTCTTTCCTGCAATCGCTGCTGGTATCCAACAACGACGAAGCATCCTCCTTTTGGAAGGACTCCCCTCTTCCTGTCCCTTTTGCTCTTTCTGAAGGGCGCTCGTCATAGGTCCTTGGCCTTGTAGAATCCCCAAGACCAGCTTGCCTCTGATGGTCCATGGACAAGCAGTTTATCCGTGAACGCACACCTGAGTCAGAAGAGGCATCAATACGCCCCTCTGTGCTCGCCTTTTCCTTGCTCGCTCTCTTGCATTCATCCTGCAACTCAGTCAAAGTTTTTGCCAGCAAAGAAGCAGCAGAAACAATCACTTCCATCCGGTTGCTTATCAACGACTGCGGTATACCCGGACCTTCTACCTCCCAATTCCCTCCAGCGAGTCCTGCATCCGGTTTCCCCACCATCTGCTGTTGCGTCACTTCTCCCTGAGGAGGTGATTTATCTGTGAACCTCTGGACCTTCCGGTGGTACAAATCATGATCATCCGACTGATTTACAGCACGACGACCCACTCTCGGAGCCATAAGACACGAGATCAAACCCCAGTTCTTGTTACTGTTATCAGCTTCCGCCCCTTTTCCCACTATCCCACGTGCCCTTGTCAGGTTATCGCCATTCTCACCTGCGCCCTGAAACGCCACCGACCAAGAGTCGTCCTTGGTTCTCGATGATACCTTCCCCCCGTCCTTGACCTTATCAAATGTGCCTGCGCTCATGCAAGTAGAAGTCGTGTTCTGCTCTGCCTTGTTCTTCACGTTGCCAACGGAGAGCGTCTGCGCTGGCCCTCGTGTAAGGTCCTCACTGAGGCGCAGGAAACGCCCTAGGAAGCTCGAAAAAGAACTCACAGCATCGCACCGAATCTCGGAAGACGCCGATGAAATAGGTGGTCTAAGCTTCAGACCAAACTTGGAATCGCCACTGGGACTGCCAGTCGTTGAATGAGCTGTTCGAGTGGCATTTTCAGGTTTTTTGAAGAATGCGGTTGAGTGCCAGTCCCCCATGCGAACAGGTGTGCTTTGTACTGAACTCTCTCTTGTCGAGCGTCGTTGGGCAGGAATAGTACTTGGATGGGTGACCTGCTGTGTGTCATTCTTGTCAGACCTGAGAATCGGGTTGGCATAACTGGCTGGTTCTGAGGTGTCCGCCCTTGGCTCGGGCCGTTCCGCTCTGCCTTCTCTTTCCAGATGCTCCCATTTGGACATTAGCACACGGTATCGGTCAACGATTGCATGGAAATTTTCTTTCTCATTCTCTTTAGAACTCCAACATGTGTCCACAACCCTGTAAGTGGCAGTGATTTCGCAACTTGAACGACCGTTGCCGCTGGTTCTACTGCTAAGATATGGATTGGCACTATAATCTCCAGTCCCATAACTGGCACTGAAGCGATTGCCACAGGTCGTTCCGCTGCTCAGATGGTTAGCAGTGCCCTGTTCAACGGAAATGAGCTCTTCGCCTCCACTCCCAGCTGATGGAGGAAAAGCCTTAGGGAGCCCTTCATCCATGTGCGCCTTCCTCGCCCCGCCCGGGTAAGAATCAGGCACAGTTTTTTGCCCCTTCCTCAGCCCGAACACCAGGTAACGATCAGCTACAGTTTGCCCCTGTGACAATCCTTGATCTGCCTTCTCCCCGACTTTCCGCAAATCCGAGGAGGCTGATGAACAAAGTGGCCCTGCGATGTCCATTTTGCCCAATTGACTCCGTAATGTGTCGATTTCGCAAATTCCCTCAGACATTATACCTGTTGAAATTCCGTTTCCTTGAGAACGATCGTCGTCCGCAAGTGTTCCTGCCATCAGGTGATTCTGGGCTCCTCGAGGCAGCTGATACGGTGCTTGTTCGCCCTTCCCCCCCTCTTTCTCCACACTTGAAGGACGAGATAATGAACGACACTTCGCAGCATCGGCCATCCATCTGAGACTCGTCGAGTAGGATGCTGACGGTACTTCCCCTAATTTCTGGCTGCCTTGACGAGGACTGACACCGGGACACGTCGCCACCGTATGAGGGCGGCGGACCAGCGCTTGCGCCTGAGACAACCCCTCCTCTACTGTCTTCCTCCCACCCTTCAGCTCTGAATCTAACGACAGGTGATGGTCATCTTTGTTCCCTAGAGTCCTTTGCCTTCCTGACATTACTTCTCTCAATGTCCGCGTTCCGGGCAAATGATCATCTCCGGCGATCATCGCACTTGTTCGGCAATTTGCACCAGTGCTTCGCGCCTGATTCAATCCCCACTTCGTCTTCGCCCCAAAGTCCTTCCAACTTGAACCTGAAAACGAACGTGTGCTTTCTGCGTCCCCCTCATCAGTGCTTTGAATCCTTGCCACTGTGTCTCTCGGCACTTGGCTTCCTTCAGAGAGACCCTTGTCTGCGAACACCACTGCATTTGAGGACTTACAAGCGGCATGCAGCACATGAGGTGTTGCCTGCTCTGTCTTCTCCTTGATGCTCTTTGATGCCGAACTCAACGACAAAACCTTTCGCAGCTCTGACACCAAGTGCTCCGCTTTCTCCACGCCCTTCTTGAGATCAAAGCCTGATGAGAAAAGCTGATTGTTTTCCCTATCTCCTTCGCTCCCTCGACTCCCCAGCATCACTTCTCTTGAGGTCTTCCCTCCTCGACAACGATCGTTATCAAGTAATCCAACGGGCATCGGCCAACAGCAGCCCGTACTCTGAACCTGAGAGAGCCCTTGCTCTCCTTCACCCTCCCCACTCTTCATATCCATAATCTGAGACAAAAGATCATTTTCTGCATTGCTATCATATGTCTGAAGACTCCGAATGCCTGTAATGTCTTTTCTTGAAGTTTGGCTTCCTTGAAAATGATCGGTGCCCGAAAATCCCGAGATCTTGAACCTTGCCGACGACCATGTTGTACCAGATTCAACCGCCTCAGGACTTCCTTCCCGGCAGGAATCCGCTTTCCCGGCATCAGTTCCCGCAGAAGTGCTAGGGTCATTTCCAACAGAAATCACTCCAGAGAGGCACGCTGCCGCCTTTTCCAGTGCTTTGCGACTCTTGAGAAAAATTTCGCGATTATGATGGCCTTCGTCAGCTTCACCAGCATGCTTGACGTACATGCTTGCCTCAGAGATCCTTTTCGTCCCCGCTACGTCATCGTTAACCTGCCCGGCAGTCCAGTCTGCTTCACCGTCCTTTCTAGAGTGCCCTTCCCGGATGCTGTCTTTGTGTAGAAATCCATCCACATTACAGCTCCCGCTTTCTTGTCTCCATCCAGATCCATTCTCCCTGTTCAGGCCTGTCTTGCTTTGCAGGCTGTTGATTGCAGTTGTAAAATATTTCTGGCCAATCGGGTCGATTCGGCCGGTGCACTCTTTGGGCATGGATTTTGAAAACAACAAACTTGGTCTGACATCAGTTCTCAGCTCATGGTCAGTAGTAGGCATGCTTGAGTCAAGATCCCTGATCCTCTTCAAATAAGCACCTCTGTGAGTTGGACTGTTGCCAAAGTCTCCTTGATCAGGCTTCATTCTTGCATACCTGCCCCCGGGCAAGTCTCTTGGCTGTGACTTCGACAAACTGTTGGTGCTGCGATGATCGCAGGCAGGATAGCAATGTTAATGAACTTTGCCCTCTCGCACAAGCTGCAGGTTGATTCATCTCAGTGCGTCAAGGACGCAACAGGGTGCAGTCCCGGAAGCATTTCCTGCAGGTCAAGCCGGAGCATTATCTCATCTCCAGCTTTGTTTGCTGCTCCCCAATCTTCCTTTGGGGATATTGAGGCTGCGACAAGTGTAAGCTCACTGATAGCTCCTTGATAAACAGAGGTTAGACTCAAGACTATTCCTGTATGTTTGCCCAAGATGGTCTTGAAGAGACTTTGAACTCACCCGTTTAGCCATCCAGCACTCTCTACTTACGCAGTAGCGACTGAAGGCAATGAATGGCCTACTTGATGAAGCAGCAGTTGCTATACTGTGATGGTTGGATGGAAAGGTTCGCTGAAGATACAGATCACACCTGCCACACATTCTCATGGTCAGATCAAATGCAAGTTGTAGAGCACGCGACGTGTGAGTAGCTGGCCGTTAGAAGATTGCATCAGATAAAATAGCAAGGACATTTGATCAACTATAGACAATTAGTCTTGGTCTGAAGTGTTCTTGGTCTGAAGTGTCTGGGGGAAAGAACAGTTATGGGTGCTCTTCTGTTGTTTTTGTCTGTTGTGTTGTCAGCATAAGATGAGCTGTGAATGTTTTCAGCAAGCGGAGCTGGAGAGCACAAGCCTCTATTGTGTGTATTATTTACATGGGTTTTCCCCCTGCACCTTTGCTTGCGAGAAATCAGTATATCCAAGTATCTCACATGCAAAGCCCACTATACGCAGATTTGACCTGCCCCCAATACTTCCACCCTACCCACACCGCCCCCCCCCTCCCCCCCTCACTTTCTACTACCCCATGTAATCCCTACCACAGGCAATAGGTACCAGGCTACCTTCTCCACCCTTACCCAACCCCTACCCCTCATGTACCCCTCTGCAGTACTTTTGCCTCTGCAATCTGAAAACATGGACTTCAATAAGCACCAAGGATGCCACTGCGCATCATAAACCTCTCTTTATCTCCACCCGTCACAGCGCCGGCAAGAGTGCATTTGTCGTGCTGCCCAGTCCTTGTCTCTGCACAAGCGGTCACTGAGCGGACTAGCGCGTTCATGTGTGGTGTATGTTGCCTCCATCTCTCCTCCTATTGGGATTTCTTCTGCCATCATGTAGAAGCGTGCCACCCTGCAGTCATTTTCGCGCTGCTGGGAATAGACTCTGAGACCTTTGGTTTCAATCACCTCCTCACTGAGGTTAAGAGCTGATAAGCCCCTTCCCTGGTCTTTGTACCACCTGAGATAACTTATGCAGCGGCTATGGCGGCACTCGACGAAATCATCGTTGAAGACACGAATAGCTTCTTGGTAAGTCTCCTCGCAAGACTCTTCCATCCCCCTTCTCTCTCTCTCTCTCTCTCTCTCTCTCTCTCTCTCTCTCTCTCTCTCTCTCTCTCTCTCTCTCTCTCTCTGTGGAGCCAGAAGACTACATCTGATGAGCAATTATGGCCACACGCAGCAAAAAGTGCTTTAGGGGATGTGCCACCCCTCTACGATGTTTACTAAACCATCTCACTGATGACTACTATACCATCCCTGCTCCCTTCCACCATCTCTCCCACCTCTCTAAGGCTACTATGGCCCATATGGCTAGCAACTTACTATGCCATACTGAAGTCTTCTACTCTCCCCCTTTTCGCTCTAATGAATGCTGCTCCTTGATTTAGTAATAGTCGGTAGGATGCAATTGAACGTATGTCTTGAGCTGATTTTTTGTATGGTGTGAATTAAAGCTGCTTTCATATGCAATGTCGATGTCTGTTGGCAAGATATTGTACCTGTCATGGGTTGCGTTTACACACACACACACACACACACACACACACAGACTTCCCCTGTGCATGGTCAGGCAGCAGCCCCTCCCTATGTGGATCGGACGGATTCTACCACAAACAGTGAAGGGACCTCTCCAAGGGATGGAGATTGTGCCCTCCTCCCATTGCGCCGTCGCACAGGTACAGTCCAGTTAGCAAGTGCACAGCATAGCCTCTGCTCCGAACACTAGAAAGGGATGGTCGCTGCCAGCCTCTGCCACGAAAACTGCGATCCTTGTCTTGTGCTCACCCCCCACACCCCTTGATTGCTTGCCCAGCATGCTGTTGTGGCCTTGATCTGCCATGCTTGAATAATTGTGCACGTCAGCCTTCTTTGCTGATGACAAGTCAACAGTCTGCCATGTGTCGTTAATGTTTCCAGGAAGCTGGTCATAGAAAGTATGTGTCTCTACTGCGTGGACTATCCCCGGTGCCATCGTCCGCCACATCCTCTCCTGGCATGTTCCACATGCAATGTTGGTCATACACCTACTGCAACCACCGTCGGAATTCCTTCTTTCTTGCCCGACGAAGGACGGGCGCGAATTTTCTCGCCACTCACACACAGACAGTCTCATACATGCCCATACATGCACAAGAGATGGGGAGAGAGGAGACAGAGTCCACACTGCACAC